GGCTTCTCCCAAGCTGACATCGTGCACTACATCTTTCCAATAGCAGCGTAATCACCAATCTCGAAAGCGAGTGAATTCTACCCTCAGTTACGCCCAGTTTGTTTCGTAGTGCTGCAAGGCTACATCTGTGAATTCCTCGGGTACTGTCTCTCGACACTCTCGTGTGGAACTGCCGTGTGTTAAGGTACAAGCACGCCATCATAATGGGTGCTGCCGGGAGAGTTTGTACCAGGATGTGTATGATTTACGGTACGGAAATTTGGCACTTCCAACTGAGCGAAGTTTGCTACAGTACTCAACAACATCAACTCCTTCGTCTCGCTACCTTACACAGTGTAGGTATGGGCTCGGCAATGCTCATCATATTCGGCGGATATATATTCAATTTGGTTACGAAGGAGAACTACCAGAAAATCATCGCCCTTCAGCAAGTGGCAACTCTCGGTGGACATGTAAAGTGATCAGCTCAGTTCTTCAAGGCATCACTACGGCTCAGGTGTCTTCCGGCTACGTCGGAGATATATTGCTCAACGTTCTCAACTGCGACCTCATAATTCTCGTATACATATCAGCAGGTGAATCCCATTGGAACCAGGGGCCTTTGAGAATTCATATTCCCAAGGGTTGGATAACAACGAGAAAAATGCCCCGAATCTAATGACGTATACATGGGAAACTGATTGATGAATGTGCTCCTAGCCATACGTGGAAAATTCAAAATGAGTTCCCCCCCGGGAACGTTATAGGTTCCCGATTGGAGCATACTTAAAGATTGGGTGCTTATTCAGTCTCGGTAACTTCCGGCTTCCTGCTGGCCTTATCGTTCCCTCAAGTATCGTACACCAAAACACCATCATTAACCCAAGTTTTTCGATCAGTGAAGCGGATCTACTCTAGCCCAATATTCCTCCTTATGGTAAGCAGTTCACCTCTATACGCCGCATATCGTCTACAGTTGATGCTATGGGGTGTACTGACATCAGTGCACTCTCTAGTATGGGGCTACGAGACTTCCCTCTACGACTACCTCAAAGTTGAACAACACTACATTGGAGACTACAATGGTATTCTAGCTAGTAGTGGTCTCCTCCTAGGTAATTCATTCCCACTACATACACAGCGTGTAGCCGGCTATAGGTGCTCTCAGCGCGATGCTATCTAATAACGACTGGGTGTTGGCTCAGCACACAGCTCATCCTCATCGTTCCATGATCGTAGAAAGCGGCATCATATCGCTGTGCATCCTCCTCATGAGCCGGTCTTCGCTGACTAGTCTCACGATCGGCTTCATCCTCTACTTTGGCGTGTACACTATTATGAACACTACATTCATCGGTCATTGCGGAAGTAGGAATATCCTCTCGCTCACAGCACCACTACCCCTACTATTCAGGATTCGCAGAATCGTCGTTGAGCACCACTGCGTCGGAAAGGAGCCCATTCGCTGCCCTTTTCACTGCCAACTTTCTCCTCTCGCAGTCCCTACAAACTCTGCTGACTTGGATTGTCTATCCTAGTCTCAAGTTGAACGTAGCATTGACCTCTTCCTACACAATGCTACGCCCCCTTTATAGGTGCGTCAAGCGTGCGTGCTTATGTCCTCTTACACAGGGATTTCTACCATACTAGCAACTGCCGCAGCGATGTTGATGTACTCAACCCTCTGCCGTTATGATAGAGGTGATGTTCCTCAGTTACGCCACACGTCGACGATGAGTTTTTATGTAAACAATTATGAACTTTTTCGTTGCAGTATTGCCGACAAACTGTCTTCTCATTGACTCAGTAGTATTGTGCTGAAGTACGTCAGTGGGAGTTGTTGCAAAGAATGCTCAATGAGTGCGTTCGCGACAGCACGAGCATTCGTTTGGACACGTTTTGCGCGACATTACTCTTCAGTGCAACGAAATCAATTGCCTACCGAGGATAATGATCATCTACCGAAACCCCACAAGGCCCTAGGAAGCGGTCTGCACTCAGATTACCGAGTCGGATGCTCTCCAAACACTCCCGATCGACAAGAGTCGATTCACGTGTCAACACAACGTCTTTCCCTTTGAAACAGTTTTTTAGACAATTTTTTCATCACTCGGTGCACTCACGTCTTCAAGTGAAACCTCACGACTATCGCCTTCACTGTAGAGTGTACCTTGTCAATATCACAATTTCATGGCGCGCGAGAAGTGGTATCCTTACGGTATTTTATCAGCATATAGGCACTTCTCAGCTACGTCCTTCTCGGTTACAGTAGTAACACGAATAACTCCTCCAGATGATCCATCGCGAGCCATAGCATGAGCCACTGCCTTTGCCACGAAATCCTGGAAGCACAGTGGCCGACCTCAGATGGAACGAACAGGACCAACCTCAGCTTCCTCCCTGCTCATATCAGGACGGTATAGGTGATCGACCAAACCAGTGATGTAAGTGGATCTGAAGACAAACTGGTGCCCATCAACCTTTTCAAATCGGTCTCACCCGGAGCCTCCCGTAGCGATATTCTGCTTGATGATAGTACCACCAAGGGGTATAGAGTAAACCTGAGGCCCCTCGGTCTGGTCCCACCCAGCTACGATAAGCCCAGCTGTTAGGTATTGTTTGTTGTTGTAGGCCAGCAATCTGCATACCATAATTTGACCGAATCACATTATGGTAACAGCAGTACTATCTACCTCATCAGATTGGCAGCTGTCTTCACCTTGGGCAGACGATCCAAAGGCAGATCGTTAGCATGTGCATTGAGGAAATATTTCACTTTCGAGCTCAGGAACTAATACAAACGTTAGGGAGAGATCACCAGAGAAATGATAAAGGCCAACCTGAGTGTCAGCAGCTGATCCACTGCGGCAAACGAAGATCCTATCGTGGAGACGAGTGACCTTACGGCTCACTCTGTTAGCAACATAACCACCTAATAAGACATCACATC